GGCAGACTTGGGGAGAACTGGCTCTCCGAGTCTTCTTCTTCTGGGGCCTCTGTGTCCCTGGTGGCAAAGAGAGATGGTCCTACCTCTGCCCATCCTGTTATTACCTGGTGCCCTCTCTGCCACCCCCAGCACCCTCCGGGGGCTCTGTGTGCACCTGGAGGCACGAGGGAGGGTGTATGGGAACTTTGGGCAAGAGAGGGACCCTGCAGGGCTGTGGGCAGGAGAGGAATGAAGACACCTCAGGGGACCTGGCTGTCCAGCCACCTGACCCCTGCTCTGGTCCTGCAGAGGAAGGGTTAAGCCTTTTCACCTCCCCCGCCCCCACTTAGGTCACCTTCTCAGCCCTGGAGACTTGGCTGGTGGTTCAAGTTCCTCAACCAGTGGCCCTGAGTAATCAGAGCCAGGGGGCCTGGGTTGGCAGGGAGGAAAATTAGAAGTAGAGGAAGCTTCAAGACTGAGGGTGTGAGGGGCAGTGAGGCTAAGGGTTTGGGGTGACCCTCGATTGATTCCCAGAATTCCTCACCTGACCTAGCATCCCTGGCACCGCGGGGGGCCCCCCGCCCCCCAAATCTCTCCCTCTCCGATGCCAGCTTTTTCCTCACACTGGGGGAGAATTCCTTGAACTCCTCCCTTGGACTGTTGGGGTACAGGTGAGCAGGCCCTGAGAAGCAGTGGGAAGCTGCCAGGAAGCTTTTCAGCTGCAAGAGACAAGACGGAGGCCCTCCCCCTAGTGCCGGGAACCGGCCATAAATGGGTCTGTGGTCAGCGAGAGACCTCTGTTAATGGACCTGGGCCGCCCCACAAGCCACAGACAGGACGGGGGGAGTGGCCGAGGAGGGAGATGACCTAAGTGCAGCTCAGCATGGGGGAAGGGTAGGGAGGGCTCAGAGCTGTAGCTGAGAGCTGGGGGTCAGAGGAGGGAGGAGGGGGGCCTGTGGGCATCATGGACTAGCTAGTCCCTGATGGAGAGTCAATTACAGGGGAGTTGGGGTCTGAGGGGAATCCACTGGGGTCTGGAAGGTGATTGGATGGGAACTGGCTGGGGTCACTGAGACCCTTAGAGGGGGGCTACAGAGTAAATGACCCACAGGAGAGCCAGACCAATGGGGGTCATGGGATCTGAGAGAGTGCCTGCAAGGTATAGGGGGCTCTGGATCACCCAGAGGGCTAACTGGGCCAGGAGAGAGTCAGGGGGTCCCTGGGGTTGGAGGAGGGAACGAATGTGGGCAGTGAGGAGAGTTGGGGTGGGAGGTCACCCTGGGAGTGGGCACGGAAGCCTATGCTGGACCCCTCTGGCCTCCAGGTTTTCCATTCTGTGCTCAGCCCTGGCTGTCCTGCTGGAGCCTGGGACAAGAAAGGGGCTCCGGGCCCCCTCCTCCCAGCAGCCTCCCTCTCTCTGCATCAATTATTCAGCAGCCAGCAGCCCGCCCTTGCTGGCAGGGCGCTGGGCCTCCTCTCCACGCCCCGCCCCTACCAGCCAGCCGGCCACATTGCCAGCCAAGGTCCAGGTGAGGAAGGACGGCCGGCCAGCCGGAGCAGGGACCCGGCAGACCCTGCCTGCCTGGGGCCCCCTCCCCTCCCCAGAGCCTCTCCCCCTGCCCTGGGAGAAGATGCCCATCCAAATCTTCTGCTCTCTATCCTTCTCCTCTGGAGAGGAGGCCCCGGGGCCCTTGGGAGATGGTTGGCGTCCCCGCCAGCAGCAGGATCGGGATAACTGGGGGTCTGAAGAGGAGGAAGACGAGGAGAAGGACAAAGAAGTGGCGAAGGAGGCAGCCAGCGAGGGGGCGCTGCCTGTGGACTTGGTGGCTTTTGCCAACAGCTGCACCCTCCACGGTGCCAGCCATGTCTTCGTGGAGGGGGGTCCTGGGCTGAGGCAGGCCCTGTGGGCGGTGGCCTTTGTCCTGGCACTGGGTGCCTTCCTCATCCAGGTAGGCGACCGCGTTGCTTATTACCTCAGCTACCCGCACGTGACGCTGCTGGACGAGGTGGCCACCACGGAGCTAGCCTTCCCAGCGGTCACCCTGTGCAACACCAATACCGTGCGGCTGTCTCAGCTCAGCTACCCCGACCTGCTCTACCTGGCTCCCATGCTGGGGCTGGACGAAAGTGATGACCCTGGGGTGCCCCTTGCCCCCCCAGGGCCGGAGGCCTTCTCAGGGGAGCCCTTTAACCTGCACCGATTCTACAACCGCTCCTGCCACCGGCTGGAGGACATGCTGCTCTATTGTTCATACTGCGGGGGGCCCTGTGGCCCTCACAACTTCTCGGTGGTGAGTGGGGGGCCCATGTCCTACACAGCACCCAAGGGTGCCCACCATGGCTCCTCCCAGGGAACTGGGGACAACGCCACCCTCCCCCAGCTGCCCTGGCCTCCACGCCCTTGGTGACATGTCTAGGAGCAGCCTGGGCCACAGCTGGCCCAGGAGCCAAAGGAGCTAGACTGCCAGGCTCAGGTGTACCACAGCGCTGCCCTCCCGACTGGACCTTGGAGATGCCTCCGTACTGGTTGGTAGTTAGCTGCTGCTGGCTGGTGACTCTGGGCGTTCCCTGACTCTCCCCAACTGCTCCTGCCCATCTCCAGACTTCTCGGACTCCCAGTGGGGGTCCCAGAACCTTTCTTGCCTCTGACTCAACCTCTGATCTGTTTGGGAGGAGTCCACGCTGGACCAGCCATTAGCTACTTAGCTACTTCCCCATGGATTGGAGCTGAGTGGGTGCCATCTGGTCAGTGGTAGAGGGGCCAGGGCAGCAGCCCCCACCTTCCTCTCACTCTACCCCTTGTTGGCATGGCCAATAGCAGCTCCCACAATAGGGCACCAATCCTTACTGATTCTTCCTGTGTGGACTCCCCCAGGCTCCTTTTCCCCTGGTGTGTGTGTGTGTGTGTTTGCTCGAGTGCCTGTCTGAGTAGGACAACAGGACTCCCCTAGATCCCCACCTCCCCCAGGCTGGTTACACGGGGGGCCGCGGGCTGTACAGCTGACACTTCTCACCCACAGCCATCAGGTGGCAGCAGCAAACCTCCGCTCCAGAGCACAGCCCTCTATTAAAGCTCCCAGGGGCTTCACCACTCAAGTCCCAGGGGAGGTGCAAAGCTGGGGGAGGGGGAGGGCAGCCTGGAGCCTGTGGCTGGGCACCATGAGACCTGGTCGTGTGGCCAGGCAGTTGAAGACCTCGGAGTCATCTCTCAGGCTTGTCTCTGGACTTGACTCACAAAATGGGGGCGACCAGGATATCTCTGGTCAGGAGAGCCACTGGGGGTGGGGTGGGGGGTGTATGCTGCTCTAGCAGGGGGAGGGGCAAAGCCTATTTCCTAGCTGCCCCTTGCTCACCCCACCTCCTTGGGCCTCCCCTGAAACTGGCTCTGGTTCTCTGGGCTGTGTCTGAACTCATCGTGTGTCCAGGCCCCCCCCACTCATATGCTCTGCCTGTGGGAACTTGGAACATGGTGGAAAGCTGTAGAGTTTCTCTGGGTTGCGTGGTGGCAGGACTGTGGCGGGGCTGCACAGAGGGGGGGGGCGGCATGGGGCTGGAGAGCAATGAGGAGGCTGCCCCAGGGCTGGGGACCTTTAAAGCCTCAGTCCCTCCCTCTGAGCATGTGTGCTGCTAGTAGGGGGTGGGTCAGACCTAAGTGCTGCTTGAAATGGTGCTGGAATTCAGGGCTGGTTCTTGGCATGACACCTGGGTCGGCTTCGGGGCTCCAGTGACTGTGGGACGATGGTGAATATCAGGGCTAGAGGCTGCAGGGGACCAGAAGGCTGAGCTTGCTTGGGGGGTAGCCCTGGGATAAGAGGACATGGGGTAAACTCCAGGAAAAGAGGTGAGGTGAGATGATTCAGAAGGTCCCATGAACTTGGGCCTGTGGGGAAGGGTCCAAGGAGGGAGCAGGGGGTCCAGAAATGATAGGCTCTTGGGAAAGGAGGCATGTGTGTCAGGGTCCCTGCAAGGGAAAAGCTGGCCCTCAGATAACTCACTGCCATCCAGTCCATGCCAACTCCTAGTGATCCTATAGCACAGGGCGGAACTGCCCCTCTGAGTGGTAAGCCTCATCTTTCTCCCTCAGAGGACCCTGGTCTTGAACTGCTGATCTTATGGTTAGCAACCCAACACATCACCACTACACCACCAGGGCTCCTGCACTCAGCTCTTTCCATGAAAAGACTTGAACAGGGAGGGTGAAGGACACCCACGAGGGAGGCTGAGGCACTGGCGGTAACGGGAAATGGTTACCTCCGGCTCCAGCCTTGTGTGCGGTGGAGGAAAGCCTCCTGGTGGGATCTGTTGGCAGAGCAGGGTCAGCCCCAACCTCAACCTCAACCTCTCCCCAACCCTTGGATCCCCTCCCACTGGCCAAACCCCTGGGATGCTCGGCACGTGGTGAAGGCACTGAGGCGATGCACCCCACAGGGGCCAGTTTTCAGGGCTTACGTCAGTCAGGGCCTGCCAAGGTGGGAATCAGGGAGAGGAGGTACGTGGAGACAGTGCTGCACAGGAGAAATCGTTTGGGGAAGGATTTGAGGGTTCCAGTAGCTGGGGGTCGGGGGTAGGGAGGGCGCTACGTGGTAGGGAGTGCTGGCAGGACTTCAGGCTCTCCACTCTGCACCCCCAACCCCCACCCCTCGCACACAGGTCTTCACAAGGTATGGAAAATGCTACACATTCAACTCAGGCCGAGATGGGCGGCCACGACTGAAGACCATGAAGGGTGGGACGGGCAACGGGCTGGAGATCATGCTGGACATTCAGCAGGACGAGTACCTGCCCGTGTGGGGAGAGACTGGTACGTCATCCTCCTCAGGGACCCCCTTTCTTGTGGCTCGAGGCCCTAGCCTCAGCCACGACCCTCCTGGGCTCCACTGTGGGGACTGTGGCAAGCAGGGCTCAGGCGCTTCTCCTTTCCTCTCTGCATCTTGCCACTTCCTCCAACTCTACCTGCTGTCCACACTGGCAGCTCTCTGGCTCCCCCTTCCTGGCTCAGTTGCTCTCCAAGGTAACCAGCCATCCTTCTCCCTCAGTGGCCGCCACTAGCTCTATAAATAACTCCCTCTCTTCTCAGCCTGCCTGCTGTCTGTCTGGTCACAGGTGCCTTGGGGCAGAGATAAAGAGAGGGAGAGAGATAGGGGAAAAGGGAGGGAGAGAGATGGAGAGAGTCTGAGACATTGACTATCTGCAACAAAGAATGTGAACCCCCAGATGTATAATAGACTCCAGATTAGGCTAGGACTCGGGGTGCTGTTGGACCCAGAAGGAGGCTAGGGTGGCCTAGGACCCTAGAGAACTCCCCACCCCCACCCAGTGTTTGCAGTGCTTGTTCCCAGGAAATGTAGGCTGCCCCCAGCTCTGAAGGAGACTCAAAACTCATGCCATTGAGTCGACTGCGACTCACAATGTCCCTACAGGACAGACTAGAACTGTTCCTAGGGGTCTGCATCTCCCTGGAGCCCGCCCCCCACCCCTCACCCTCCTGAATTCCCACAGATGAGACATCCTTCGAGGCAGGCATCAAAGTGCAGATCCACAGTCAGGATGAGCCTCCTTTTATCGATCAGCTGGGCTTTGGCGTGGCTCCAGGCTTCCAGACCTTCGTGGCCTGTCAGGAGCAACGGGTGAGAGGCCAGCAGGAGCTGTAGGGGTGGAGGCCCGTAGGGGGTGGAGGTACCTTGAGGGTGGGGTGGGCGGTCAGAAACGGGAGGGGCGTGCGCTCGTGCGCGAGACCAGGCTGGGGAGGCCACCTGGCTTGTCAGCAACATGGGTGATCTACGGTCAACTCTGAGGCCTTGGAATCTTGCAGAGGGAGAAGGGGCGGGACTCCGGAGCTCTGAGTCTTCTCAGAGAAGCACATCAAGGTGACTACCCTCCTCACACACACACCCAGCTCCCTGGCTCTCCCAGCAGCTCATCTACCTGCCCCCGCCCTGGGGCACCTGCAAAGCTGTTACCATGGACTTGGATTTCTTCGACTCCTACAGCATCACCGCCTGCCGCATTGACTGTGAGACGCGCTACCTGGTGGAGAATTGCAACTGTCGCATGGTACACATGCCAGGTCAGGTCACAGCGCTCCTCGTGCAAGCACCAACCTGGGGCCTGCCCCGCCCCTGATCAGCTTCCTCCCAGACCTGAAGCCAGGCCAGCTGGTTCTTCCCACCCAGTCTCTGGTCCCGTTTGCCTGCCCATCTGGCCCTTGTTGCTCTGACCTCAATTCCTGCCTGTAGCAGGGAGGGTCTGGATCCAAAGGGAGGGTGGGAAAGGTCCAGGAGGGATGGATGGGGGCTGGGGCGGGGTCAACTCCAAGGAAGGCTGGGAGCCGGCTAGTCCTACCTTTCACCCTCTGCCAGTTTCCAACCATCTAGGCTTTTGGTACTGCCACCACTGAAATCTCACTGCCACTCATAGTGGCCCCAGAGAAAGGGGGAAAACTGTTCCCTGTGGGTTTCCAAGACTATCACTCTTTATTAGAGCCGAAAGCCCATCTTCCTACCGAGGATCCCGAGGATCCCCTGGTGGTTTTGAACTGCTGACTTTATGGTTACCAGCCCAACTTGTAACCACTATGCCACCACGAGATCTCATTCACCTCCACCCCGAGCGCACCGCTGTTCTTTCTTTGTAGGGGATGCCCCATACTGCACGCCAGAGCAGTACAAGGAGTGTGCAGACCCCGCGCTGGGTGAGTGCCCCTGCCCTGAACAGACAGGGGCGGTGGGGTGGGGGAGGAGCAGGCCTGGTGTACCTGGTCTTCAGATCGGCCCCCGGACCAAGCGTCCCCCTCCCCCGTGCTTGCTTTGGCGGCTGGACACAGCATTTCCAGAAGCCCCACCCCCCCCCGAAAGATTCGTGGGGTCACCTGGGCGGGGTTCTCCCCTCCCTCATCATCTGCATCTGTGCCTATGCCGGTTTACTCTGAGAGCAGGGAGATCAAGGATAAACTGGGAGAGGGAGGATGATGGGTGGGCACAGGGAAGGAAAGGGGATGCGGGTTGGGGAGGGGGCCTGGGGCAAGGCCAGGATGTGCTGTTGGGAAGGTGGTGCCCGAAGGGTGCCACTCAAGGGGCGCCTCCCGCCTGGCTGGGGCACAGACTTCCTGGTGGAGAAGGACCAGGAGTACTGCGTGTGTGAAATGCCCTGCAACCTGACCCGCTACGGCAAGGAGCTGTCCATGGTCAAGATCCCCAGCAAGGCCTCCGCCAAGTACCTGGCCAAGAAGTTCAACAAGTCTGAGCAGTACATCGGGTAAGTACATCGCCCAGCGGGGACCTTCAGCTGGGGCGCTGGAGGGGATTGCTGGGGGGAGGGCAGGGCGGGAGCAGTCAGCAAGAGGAAGTAAGGCCCAGAGAGATGGGAGCAGCAGGGGCTTACTGGGAAGAACGAGGCAGAAGCTGGGGGAAGACCCCTCTCGCCCTTGCCCTCTCCCTGCTTGCTTCTGTCTTCATCCTCACCCTCATCCTCACCTCAGGATCAGGGATCCCTCACACTTCCCAGTGGGCACCACGTCTTTGTGCTATAGCATCGCATCTAACAGCCCTGCAAAGCGGGTATCTCCCGTGAGCACCGCACGTCACAGCGGTGGAAACCGAGGCTCAGAGAGGCCTGCTGCCAGTAGGGGTCGATATATGACTTGAACCCAGTCTCCCCCCACTACCCCCACCAACCCCGCTGCAGGGAGAACATTCTGGTGCTGGACATTTTCTTTGAAGTCCTCAACTATGAGACCATCGAACAGAAGAAGGCCTATGAGATTGCAGGGCTCCTGGGTGAGTGGCTGAGGGCACCTCGCCCCTTCCCAGGCCATGGCCGTGGCCGGACTTCCCACTGCGAAAAGCGGGTGCTCTGCCCTGTGACATGGTATCTTCTTCCTCCCCGCACCCCAGCCACCTCTAGGAGACTGTCCCCAAAGCCTGCTATTCCTATGTGGGGAGGAAGGAGAGGAGGCTGAGTTTGCTCTTAGATCAGCCTGTGGGCAACTGGGCTGGGGGTGGCCGTGAGGACTATTTCACAGGCCCCTGAAATCCGGCCAAGCAGTGAGAGGGCTCGGATATTTTGTAAACTAGCCTTTTTTACTTCTAAAATAATACCCGTTCATTCTAGAAAAGTAGAAACATGCAGAGAAACGTAGGCAAAGGAAAAACAAGAAGACAGAAATCGGCCAGAAGCTGGCTTTGCGCTCCTTCTGTGCGAAGGTTGTCAGTCCCCTGGCGCAGACGACCTCCCCAAACCCGTCCCTGACCCGGTGAACCCTGCCAGGTCCTCCCCTCACCGACCTCCCCCGCCCGCCTGCAGGTGACATCGGGGGTCAGATGGGGCTGTTCATTGGCGCCAGCATCCTGACAGTGCTGGAGCTTTTTGACTACGCCTACGAGGTGAGGGGGCGGGGCCGCGGGGCGGGGCGGGGCCTCTGGAGGTCTCGGGCCGCTCACCCCGCCCTGCCCCCACCCATTCAGGTCATTAAGCACAAGCTGTGCCGGCGAGGGAAGTGCCAGAAGGAAGCCAAAAGGAGCAGTGCGGACAAGGGCGTGGCCCTCAGTCTAGATGACGTCAAGAGACACGTGAGGGAACCTAAGGCCCCACCCCTCCCCCAGCGCCCCATCTCGGGCTCCCATTGGCCCCCCGCTCCAGCGCCCCCTCCGGTGACCAGCCCGTGCCCTGTGCCCTGTGCTTTCCCTAGAACCCGTGCGAGAGCCTCCGGGGCCATCCGGCCGGGATGACGTACGGGGCCAACATCCTACCTCACCATCCGGCCCGAGGCACGTTCGAAGACTTTACCTGCTGAGCCCCGCAGGCTGATGAACCAAAGGCCTAGATGGGGAGGACGAGGAGAGCAAGGGGGACCCCCCGCTGCCCCCATCTGCCCTAGGGACTCACCCAACTCCCAGGGCAGCCTCCCGCTGCTAGGCTGTCCTTTTCTCTTGTCTGTGGTGAGAAAGGAGTCTTCTCCCGGCCTCAGTCCCATTCTTTTTGTTTCTAACAAAACTCATCTAAAAGAGACACTAAAAAGAGATACGGGGCAAGGGACCTCAGGCCGCCCCCTCCGCCCCATGCTGCCTCCCCCAGCTCCCTGCCTGAACCCTCTTCTCTCCTGTCTGAGTCTCACCGCCTACATTGCTGCCTCCAGTCACCAAAGCCCCTCCCAGCGGGGGTCGAGGGGGGATTTCCAGGGTTGGTCATTTTGCCCCAAACCAGAGAATGTACTTGAGGGGGAGGGCTAGTGGGGGGGCTTCCCCAGCCTTAAGAGACCCTCTCAGCCCAGTGACCACCCCCCCAACCCCAAGTGTTCCGGCAGGAACTAAGACCCCATTCCCCTCACAACATGTGGAGTCCTTAGGGGGGTTGGGTGGGGAGATTGCCCCCCTACCCCAGAAGGAGAGATGGGGACAGGGTGTGGCCCTGGTGCTGTAGGCCACATCCTGATACATACAAGCGCACCCTCACCCCAGAACCATAGCTGCTGGAGAGAAATCCCAAGAGGCAGCCCCCCACCTCCACCCTTGACCTTCCCAGAACAGATCCCGCTGGTTGGTTTCCAGCTCAGGGAGAGGGGCACTGGTGCCTAGCCTCACTGGTCACTCTCCCAGGGGCCCCAGCAGAGGGCCACATCCATAAATTTTCTTATGGAACTCCTCTGAGTCCTCTTCCCCAACTCCATTTGCTTCTCAACAACCTCATCTGCATTTTCTATTTCTATATGATACAGACTCTATATTGCTATATCTCTGTATATACTTTCCCCCCAGCCTTGTCTGTCTCCACCCCCTCCCTTCTTGTCTCTGAGAACTACCCCCAACCCCCAAAGCCCCCTTCTGTGTCTCTTTGCCCACCCCAGTCCACCCCCGCCCCCCCAACCCCGACACCCCACACCCCACCCCACCCCGGTCTATGAATGCCTTCGCCTGTATAAAGAGTTGGACTCTCTCCCCTGGTGTCTGTACTGTGTACACACATCCCTCTGAGAAGCACAAGGAGACGACACGCGCATTGTAACCTTCGCACTGTCTCGGTGGCAACATAAAGGAAGCTGTGAATCACAAGTTCTGCCTCTTTCTAGCCTCGCCCCCCCCCACCCTCACCCCCTCTGACCCAGGCACCCTCTGCCCTCCCTGCAGTCTTAACATTTCTGCCCCCGCTCCGCCAACCCACTGCCCTTTGCCTGGCTGACTGCTGCCTCCCCAGAGAAGGGGTTGTTCACAGAGCTAGCCCCTACCCCCAGGAGACAAGGTTGCTCTGAACACCAAGACAAGGGAATTCCTCCCAAGCTGGCAGCCAGGATGTGGACAGATGAAAGGGAGCTGGGGGTGGGTGACTCTGTTAGGGTAGTGGGGTGCTGACCAGCAGGAGAGGCCCTCAGTCAGTGGCTGCCTTTCCCTCCTCAGGGCTGCCCAACCCCCTCTCCTCACCTGATCTCAAGCCCCACACTGGGCTTTCCTACTGAGGTGGGATTTGGTAGTGGGAGGGAAGTGATAGGCCTAGAGCTGGAGTTGAAAGCTGGGCTGGTCGTCCCCTCTGTCCCTTTACAAGAGACAAGTAAGGGAGGGGGCCTGAGCCCCAACCCATTCCTAGCCTTTTCTGCCTGCTGTCTCTTGGTCGCAACCCTAGGACAGACTCTGTGGCGTGAGCAGGTCACCTGTGTATCGGCCTGGAGCTGGAGAGTAAAGTTGGGAGCTCTTTGGGAACTCTTGGTTCCTAGGAATTGTGTAGAGACTAGAACTGCCCACAGGGAAGCAGTAGCAAGGCCAAGCAGTGTGCCACCGGACGGGGACAGGGACGAGCAGGCGGGGCTCTCTGGGTGACGCATGCCTCTGGTCTAATAAACTGGGTTTCAACCATCTCCTCTTCAGTGTTCTGATGTGACTGAAAGCAGTTGGGTCTCTTCTCACCCAGTGCCTAGTGCTGTGCTTGGCTTGGGCCCAATCAGACGGAGGGATAATGAGGGTTTGAGTAGGGGTTCCCTATCCTCCAGACAGAGGGGTGGGGTTGAACTATTGGGAAGGGTCAGAAGCAGAAAAGACCCCAAAGTGAAGCCCCACCCACAAAGGATACTTTGGGGGAGAAAGGCGATTAAGAGTCCAGATGAACTGGAACAAAACCTGGAAGCAGTCAGGTTAACAGGTCAGGGACAAAGTTGGGCTGAACTTCTAGTGCACGGTGTTATTAGGATCCTTCCTCCCGACCAAGAGGCAAGAGATCTGGATGGATTCCAGGAAGGAATTTGCTGAAAACTTGCTGGTTGACTTCTGTGAGCTCAGTGTTCCCATCGGTAAAATGTAATCAACACCGTGCGTTCCTCTCCCTCTCCAGTGCCTGGATTGATGGCAGTCAGGGAATGAAATCGAGAGCCAGCAAAGCTCTTTGGAAAGTTAAAGGTGCTGTGCCACGATGAAGCACTGACGCCACCACTCTCTTACAGAGGACAAGTGTGGGGGCTGTGGTCCTCCTTTCCCAGGGCCTGCGCTTCCTCCCGTGGGCTTGGGGGCGCCCGCTCCCCGGGCCTCTCTAGCCCGGCGCTCGTCTCTATGGTCCTCCCTACCGGACCTGA